GGTGTGAAAAAAAGAAAAAATTAAAGGTGAAAAGGGAAAAAGGTAAGGTTAGAGGTTACAAAAGATTGGGTGAAAAAGATTGAATGCGGGGGATTGGAAGGGAAGGAGTATGGAGGGGTAAAGTATTCAGTATTTGGGAGGGACGTGTCAGGGGTGGGTTATAAAAGATGAGGTGAATATAGAATTGATGGGGAAAAGATGAGTGGTGCATTAGGGTCTGTGGAGACAAAAAAAAATTTTGCCCTTTGGGGGAAAAAGGGGGAAGTATGAGAGTTGTTTTCCCAAACGTCTTAAGGGGTGGAAAGGTGGGTGTGAATGTTGCGGAGGAAAAGGGCTGGGGGCGGGGTGTCATGTCTGGGGGGCAAGTGTGGTGTAAATTAAAATGCAGAGAATTGTAGTTTGGAAAGTTAGGAGGAGGGGGGATTACCAAAACTGTTGTTTCCAGGGGGGCTGGGGAAGGGTTTTTGAGGGGGTTTCGGACATGTAGGAGAATGGAGCGAAACAGTGACTTCAAGGTGATCGCTGTGGTGGAAGGGGGGGGGGGGGGGGTAGGGGTGGCCCTGGGAAAAGGGTTGGAGGGGGGGGGTAAAGGGGTTTTGTGTGCGGGGGTTTGGACTTCCAGCAGGCATGCGTGGGGTGTTTGTAGGAGTGAAGGGAGAAAAAATGTTTTTAATATTGATGGCTTTTGGAGGTGAGCAAAAGTAACATTTATGAAGGGATTCAGGGAAACCGGCAGGCCGGACTTGAGTCCTGGAGATGGGAAGTACAGTGCCTGCACTCTGAAGGGGGGGTGTTAAATGTTGCAGTTTAAAAAAGTGTGTAAAGCCCCCTTCGGGCCCAAGACAGTGATGGAGTAAAGAGGGTGAAAGTTTTTCTTTTTCGGGCCCCTGCCTTGGGGGGAATCGGCCGGTGTGATAATAAAATAATAAAAATAACACTAACTGTGGACTGTGGGTATTATCTGCACTTTACTTGATTCGTTAGACCAGCTCATTAGGAATTTTTTAAAGGGGTCATGTTCGTAGAGATAAAGTATTCTTCCCAGTGGGCTTTTTCCTAACTGCTTTTTTCCCCCCTCACAAAGCATGGGGGATTTTTTTTTGGGGATGCATAATTTTTTAGCCCATAAAGAAGGTTTTGTCTTATTTTGGTAAAACATATTGATAAACATAGTTTTCATAAAAAGATTTTTTAGTAGGTTGTTTCTTTGTAGGGTAGTTTTGGGAAATTTTAAAAGCACTGTTTTTTTCCCGCTTGGTAGCCCCCCCCCTTTGTTTGCAATCCTTTAGGTATCATAGTATGTTAAAGGGAGGTTTGGGCCTTGATAAGTTAGGGTGGTTCCCTGCAGGTCTCTTGGGTGACTGTGGGTGGGAGATGTTTGCTGTTAAATACAAAAAAGGTTTAGATAGCGCTGTGGGCATTATGGTCTTGGAAGTTGGTTTGAAATTGGAAGTTGTTGGTCCCCTTTGATCTTCTCTGTAATGTTGGTGTAAATAGGGTGTTTTTCTTTTTGAGGTTTATGGTGTCTAGGGGCTGGGGTGTGGTGTTGCTTTGTTGTTCAGAGTTCTGTTTTTGTTTAAGAGCAGGATTTGTTGAGGTAATCTGCATTGCTAGCTTTTAGTTTCCGCTTTTTTGAGTTAGTTTGGTGATCGTTTGGTTCTGAATCGTAAAAGGTTTGCATTTCTGGGTCAGTGATCTTCTTGACATCAAATCTGGGGAAAGGGGTTATCTTGGACTGTGACGGTGGCATGTTTGTTGTTTCTGTCGTGTGTTGTGGGGTGCCGGGGGTGATGAGGGGTTTTGTCCGGCTGGCGTACCAAAGTTTTCCCCGTGTTATTACTGCTCTACCTTTGTGTTAGGAGTCCTTAGTGGTTATGGTCTTCTTTTTTTTCTCTGACCTTGTCCATTTTGGGTGTGGTTCGGGTGAAAAGTGGGATGGGTGAGGGTGAATGTTGTGGAGTATCACTTCAGTGGCAGTGGGGTAGGAGGTGGTAGTACGAGTCCTATTAGTTGGTAATTTGTGAACTTTTGGGTGATTTCTGCAGTTGATTTATATCATTCTGGGTATCCACACATGTTAGTGTTATGTGGGTCTTGATTAGGTCATCACTGGGCTGCTGGGAACCTCAGGTAGAAGTAAAAATAGAGGACAAGGTTCCTGTTGCCGCTGCCGGTTTTTAAACCATAACCAGACACATCGTCTGTTTATTTACATAGTGGGTGGGGTGGCCAGGCTGGCTTCCCTACACTACCCTACCTACCACAGGACTTTCTACATATAAATACTTTTCACCTTTCATTCTACATTAAGACTTCAAATATTGTAAGGTAAGTAATGAGTGTACTGTATATGCATTTTATCACTCTATTGAGCTTTAAGCATTGTTGTAGTATATTATGTGTGGGTGGGGTGGCCAGGGGGGCTACCATACCTAGCTTCTTACAGTAAATACTGCTCACCTTTTGAGGTAAATAATGAGTGTACTGTTTATGTATTTTACTTTTTATTGTTTTTAATGCCTAGTTCTATTGCTAGCTTAATATATGTTAGTGTAAACTTGTTATCTGGCATTTTTAAGCATTTATAACTGGAAAAAATGGTGTTCTGCTTTCCGGCAGTAGCCTGGAGCCTAACATGCCATATAAGTATGGCCCTACTGTACATAGGTGGTGGTTAACGCTCTCGCTTCACACGGTGAGGGCCTGGGTTCGATTCCCAGCCAGAGTAGAAACATTGGACGTGTTTCTTTCCACCTGTTGTCTATGTTCCCCATCAGTAAAATGGGTACCTGGGTGTTAGTCGACTGGTGTGGGTCGCATCCTGGGACACTGACCTAAGGAGGCCTGGTCACAGACCGGGCCGCGGGGGCGTTGACCCCCGGAACTCTCTCCAGATAAACTCCAGATAAACTCCAGATACATAGCAGCATATGTGAAAAGATCCTCGGATAACCCAAAAAAGTCAGAGTGACTTATTTTCATTGGGGTCCCTGCATCTGTACCATATGGTACGCTGTACCATATGGTGCCACGAGGATGCAGCATGCATGCATGCAGCACCAGCCCAGACTGAGAGTGAATCTGAGACCCAAGCTGCTGACTCAGCAGTTCCATGAGAAAGCACATCATCATCCACCAGTGGAAGAAGACAACTGTGGCTGAAATGTATTTGCTTTTTGCAACAATAATGCTTATGCCCATGTCTATAAGCATAATATAAAATTGCAGTGGTCGATAGATGAATAAGACACCACTGTGCATGACACCTTGTTTCGAAGACTTTCACAGACGGGAGCAGTTTTAGGAACGTCTAGTGAATGTATATATGTAAATACAGTATATAAAAGAACATTACTAACATACAACATTTTTCCATGTTTTTTGTTAACAAGTTTTGTAAGCAATATAATGATAAAGAAATTAGTGCAGTTTTTGTGTTGAATACAATGAGTGTAATATATACATTATACATTATATTGCTCTCGCAGGCTACAAAAGTTACTGGAAAAAAATATTAGAAAAGAAAGGAAAAAAGTAACAAACACGTACAATAAAAAATGCGACTTTACGGAAGTCACAGTTGTTTCCAACACCCGGTCATTGAGGGTTCAACTTCACGCCTCTGTATCTCGGTAAGTATGGATCGGAATTTTTTGTTTTGTTTTCTTGCCTATAGAAAAAAAAAATCTTTAATTCCGTAAGACTTTTTTTTTTTTCCAAAAATTCTTGTACTCCCTAGAATGCAGGAGGGAGAGATACATGATTATATACACCTGGAAAATCCTAGAGGGACTAGTACCAAACTTGCACACTAAAATCACTCCCTATGAAGGCAAAAGACTCAGCAGGCTGTGCAGCATCCCCCCAATGAAAAGCAGGGATACCACTAGCACGATAAGAGACAACACAATAAGTGTTAGGGGCCCAAGACTGTTCAACTACCTCCCAGCATATATCAGGGGAATTATCAATAAACCCCTGGCTGTCTTCAAACAGGCACTGGACAGGCACCTAAAGTCAGCACCTGACCAGCTGGACTGTGGTTCCCACGTTGGATTATGTGTGGCCAGCAGTAACAGCCTGGTTCATCAGGCCCTGATCCACCATGAGGCCTGGTCACAGACCGGGCCGTGGGGGAGTTGACCCCCGGAACTCTCTCTAGGTATACTCCAGGTATAGGACCCTGGCTGACACTTTGAGATTTGGCCTCTGGACCCTGAAAGGGTTAATTAAGGTTGGTGTGATGTCCATTGTCTCCATTATTTTGTTCACTCTCATGACCTTTATTACGACCACAGGTAATAAATAGCCTGTGAGACCTGGTCATAATGGGAATTGGAGCAAACAAACTCAGCAGTAGACTATATTGTATAATTTGCCTTCACGCAGTATATACAGGTATGTACACTATGTACAATGTCTACAGATAGAATAGTAAGTGTACACCACAGTGTCAGATGGCAATGCAGAAGCCAAAGAGAGTGCACTGTATTCACCCAGCAGGTAGGCAAGTCTGCCATTGTTTACTGCAAGTGAACCACCTTGCTTCAACTTTTGTGGGCTTGCCTATGATTTAACAATGGGTACCCTATCGATCGTTAAACTCTTAGCTCCCGGTTCGCTGGTTGGGAGGCAGCCTATATGGGAGTGTGACATAGGCTGAATAAATTGTAACATACTCTTTGCATGCCACAACATTCATGAGTCTTCCATGTACAGGACAAATATTTTCTCTAACTTCATATCTGACATAACCTACTTTCACTGGTGAGTCCCATCAACATGTGACAATGTCCTCAACTGGTGAGCCTCACACACCTCTGTATTATATTGAGGAAGTCTATTGTACAGGCAAAATGTCTTTCCAGGTGCTGCACACGTCTTAATCATCTATATAGTTGAACGCCAGTTGAGAAAATTTTTAATTCGTCTTTAACAAAATCACAATTATTAAATTTACAGTGTTGATTAATATTTTTTTTTTTTTTCTTTGCAGTTCATCATCTCAAGAGAAGAATTATGGATAATATCTAGACTCAGTACTGGTGTAAGTGGAGGATGTACTGCAGAAATAGTGTCAGCAATAGTTTTGTTGACTACATTGTTGTGAATATACCCTGAATATCAGTTACATCTACGACCCTCAACAACCAGTGAACATAAGTTCACTTATTATAATACTGTACTTATATTAATATAGTACTGTACATGTATTATTAACATCTTTTACACTAAAATTTATTACTGTTTAAAAGTTTCTTAGCTTATTATATAAATATTTGGTTAGTGTCTTTATAAGACACAAGTATAGTCTTAATGAAGTGTGTAGATTTTCTTTGTAATATTTTTTATATTCTAAAAAATAAGTTATATTTTTAACAGTAAAGCAGAATAAAAATTTTAGTACATAAGACTATAAGCTTTAGTAATTGCATTAATTGACTGTTTGAAGAATATTGTAATGCATTGTTTCTGTTATTTTCTTTACTTTAAGTAATGACAGGATATTGTAATGTATCATTTATATTACCCTCTCTTCTTCAGATATTTTATCATATCACATTCCTTCCATTTTTCACATAATTGATAGATGCCTTTATTAACTTACTGATGCTATACAAAATATTTTTTATTAATCTTATATTTTCCTGCTTATATTTCACTTATACATTTTAATTTCATTATTTAACTATGTTTGTCTGACTCAGAAGTGTTCTCTTGATAATGTATACATTCATATTAATCCTGTGTGCTGTTGTTAATGTTAACACTCGTGTTAATACTGTGTGCTGTTGTTAATGTTAACACTCATGTTAATGCTGTGTGCTGTTGTTAATGTTAACACTCATGTTGATACTGTGTGCTGTTGTTACTGTTAACACTCATGTTAATGTTGTGTGCTGTTATTAATGTTAACACTCATGTTAATGCTGTGTGCTGTTGTTACTGTTAACACTCATGTTAATGCTGTGTGCTGTTATTAATGTTAACACTCATGTTAATGCTGTGTGCTGTTGTTAATGTTAACACTCATGTTTGATGTGTGGCTGTTATTAATGTTAACACTCATGTTAATGCTGTGTGCTGTTATTAATGTTAACACTCATGTTGATGTTGTGTGCTGTTGTTAATCAAACAAAAACTAACAATTAACACTATTACTTTCGAATGAAAATATTCATTACTTGATTATTTATATTGTTTATAAGAAGTTGAAAAGTGAATAAATGCAGTTAATATTCTACTGCAGTGAATTACTTACTGACAGGTACCACTTTATTGCTCTTTACCAAGTGTAAGTTTACATCAAGTCTTTGCACACTAATTTCAAAAACTTTCTGGGCAATATAAGCTGGAAATATTTAATGTAAATTTAACATTTAAATATCTTTTTTCCTAAACATCAGATAGTTTATGCAGTAAATTAAAGATAATAATGAGAACTTTTATATGATGAGTGTTTTTACATTATTTTTCTCATAAATATTCCATATTTAAAATTTTAAAAGACATTTAATATATAAGAATTCAATAAGCAGAGAAACAATATCAGATAAATAACATGATGCAGTGCAATAAAGTTCCTCCAGGAAAAAACACACATCAGTGTTCAGAGTGTTTACAAAACTTCAAACGAAAATCATATCTAACACAGCACATGAGAGTTCATTTACAAGAAAAACCATATCGGTGTTCAGAGTGTTTAAAAAAATTTTCACATAACTCAAATCTAATACAACACTTGAGAGTACATTTGCATAAAAAACCATTTCATTGTTCAGAATGTCAAAAACACTTTTCACAAAAATCATATTTAATACTACATATGAGAGTTCATTCACAAGAAAAACCATATCAGTGTTCAGAGTGTTTAAAAGACTTTTCATGTAAACAGAATCTTAGGAAACACATGAGAGTTCATTCACAAGAAAAACCATATCAGTGTGCAGAGTGTCTAAAAAACTTTACATATAACTCAAATCGAGTACAACACGTGAGAGTACATTTGCAAAAAAAACCATCTCAGTGTTCAGAATGTTTAAAAAGCTTTTCCTATAAATCAAGCCTAATACGACACATGAGAATTCATTCACAAGAAAAACCATATCAGTGTGAAGAGTGTCTAAAAGACTTTTCACAAAAATCAGATCTAATAAGACACATGAGAGTTCATTCACAAGAAAAACCATATCAGTGTGCAGAGTGTCTAAAAGACTTTTCACAAAAATCACATCTAGTACAACACATGAGTGTCCATTCACAAGAAAAACCATATCAGTGTTCAGAATGTTTAAAAAGCTTTTCTGATAAATCAAACCTAATGCGACACATAAGAATTCACTCACAAGAAAAACTATATCAGTGTTCAGAGTGTTTAAAAAACTTCTCATGTAAACAATATATTGTGAAACACATGAGAGTTCATTTACAAGAAAAGCCATATCAGTGTTCAGAGTGTCAAGAAGCCTTTTCACATAAATCAAAACTAAGACACCATATGAGTGTCCATTCGCAAGAAAAACCGTATCAGTGTTCAGAGTGTCTAAAACGCTTTTCAAAAAAATCACTTCTAATGCAACACATGAGAGTTCATACCCAAGAAAAACCATATCAATGTTCAGAGTGTCAAAAAGACTTTAGACGTAGATCACATCTAATACGACACATGAATGTTGTTCATTCAAGAGGAAAACAATATCAGTGTTCAGATTACTAAAAAGACTTTTCACAAAATTCACAGACATCACAATAGATATCAGGGGCCCAAGACTGTTCAACTGCCTCCCAGCATACATAAGGGGGATTACCAATAGACCTCTTGCTGTCTTCAAGAAGAAACTAGACAGGCACCTAAAATCAATATCTGACCAGCCTGGCTGTGGTTCGTATGTTGATTTATGTGTGGCCAGCAGTAACACCTGGTTGATCAGGCCCTGATCCACTGCAAGGCTTGGTCACGTACTGGGCCGTAGGGGCATTGACCCCTGAATTTTTCCCCAGGTATACTCCAGGTATTGTTAAGGATTTTTACAGAGCTTGTATATAGGGTATGAGATCTGTTCAAATAGTTTGGAGGAAACATGAGGGCAAAATTTGGTAAACTAAAGCCCCACTCCACACCTTTGCCCATTATTTGCTGCTAGCAAGTGGGTTCATAAACTGTGCTAATGCCTGTATAAGTTAAAGGAGTCTAGGTATTAATATAAAAGCATGTTGTTGTGAAATAACCACCAGGGATCATACAGCCTCCTGCTGGCACAATTATACCACTATGGAAGATCTAATAAATGTTTGCCTTGTACCTTGCATTATTATAGTGCAAGTAATACTTGTATATTATATAATTAGAGTCAACTGTAAGATCAATAATAATTTAAGGTGTAAAATGATCTATTTTTGTATAACCATGTGACTAGCCTACTTCTGTATTTGTACGAGCCTACCATAGCCTAACTATTTTAACCCTTTGACTGTCGAGATCCCTGCTCACAAACTTGCTCTGAGTGTCGAAGAATTTAAAAAAAAAAAAAATTCTTATTAAACAATAATCTTTTCCCGATGGTAATGACACTAAAATTATGAAATTTGATGGAAAACTTATGGAATTAAGCTTTTGCGAAGTTAGCGATCTCGACACTATATACTCATTGGCGATTTTGCCCATTTTGAGCCCTATTTTAGGTCAATTCCATTGTTCCAGTGAACCAAACTCATAGCTATTTTGCTAGAACTCCATTTGTTGTATAGTTTGAGTACAAGAAACCACCTATTTACCAATTTCAGCTACCCAATAAAGTGGTCAGAAATTGGCAATTTGGCCAGTTTCACACAAATTTCAAATTTCAAAATAGGGTCCCTTCTTCAAGAGGGGCTCCTTGGTGTTTTGAACCAAAAACATGGTCAGAATTTTTTTTCCTCATTATGCACTGCATGCTGCAGGATGTTTTTTATACTGCGCACACTGACCATGCAGACCCATTCTCTCACATGTAGGTCTACCAGCTTTCTGGTGCTAGATTTGAAGCCGCTAGAATTTTGGTGATGTACTACGGCACCAACACTGGCTTGCAAGCCGTAGTACTTTGGCACCGACAGTGAAAAGGTTAATATCTGTTTACCTTTTATTATTTTACCAGATTATGCTCTTACTTGACAGAGTTGTGGCATAAAACTGTTTCTCTTGTCATTTTTTTTCAACCTGTAATCAACCCTGGTATGCATCTGTTTCTAACCTGTAATTTCTCTAGCCTATCTTTTGTATTAATTGTATTTCATTTAGTATCTGCTAAATATGCTTCATATATTTTTGTGCAAGACAGGTATACAATACCGACAAGATGAAAGTTAAGACACTTGTGCAACATCTGGTTATCTTTATTGTAGACGTTTCGCCATCCAGTGGCTTTATCAATACAGATTCTTGGACATAATTAGAAAACAGAAGAACTATATACAAAAGATGAGGTAATCAGTCCCTCAGCCTTGGAGGTGGTGTTTACAACACCATGGTTGTAAACACCACGGTGTTGTAAACACCACCTCCAAGGCTGAGGGACTGATTACCTCATTTTTTGTATATAGTTCTTCTGTTTTCTAATTATGTCCAAGAATCTGTATTGATAAAGCCACTGGATGGCGAAACGTCTACAATAAAGATAACCAGATGTTGCACAAGTGTCTTAACTTTCATCATATATTTTTGCTGTAATATGTCTTGTACCAGTAACCTAGCCTAGCTTTATATGCTTTTCTGTACTAGTTTTAGGACTGTCTTTGTATCTCTTTTATTTTCCTGTCTCTTATCCTACTCATGCTAACCTATGTTTCATGTTATTGTATTTTATTTTATGGAATTGCTTAACTTTTATATATGTGAATGTATGTCTGCACATGTCCATTTTGTTTGTACACGTATCTCATAAATGTGTAAAATTTTATTGTGTTCACTTTACCTTAGTAAGATTTTTGTGTGTGTGTGTTTGTGTGTTAACCCAAAAACTGTCCAAACATAGATCTACGTTCGCTTGCCCAGAGCTCCGAATATTTTGAAAAAAAAAAAAAAATTAATTCAAGAGGGCAATTTTCTGTGTGTAACAAGACCAAAAAAAAAAAAATTTAGGACCAGTACTTACTGAGATACAAGACTACAAAGTTGGTGCTGGATGCTCACCTGATGGCAACATCATGTCCTACCACTTGCAGAAGTGTTGCTGATTTACCTTTTATCTCGTTTTTATATTATTTTATATAATTTTTGTGGTCTGATAATTACAATTTATAGTAGTTCTTGTGATTTCATAGTTAATCTTTGTTCTGATACTAATATTAGGTACTGAAATTGTTCTTGGTTGTCCTCAGTTCTCGGTAAATCCGAACTTGTTCTTGGGTGTCCTCGGTTCATCTTGGTAATTAGTAGGACCCACTTGTTCTCGGTAATTAGTAGGACTGATTCCTGTGAATATTCCTGTGTTGAGACATTTAACAGTGATTTTGTAGGCAGAATTCAAAATTTTTTAGAACTGCTTGGACTGCCATTAAAACCTCTTAGTGTTTCAAACCCAGTTAACTTCCAGAATTATCATACCTTCTTTAAAACACATGCTGCAGTGTTTCTAAACTTTGAACATTGAAACGCACTGCTCGGAGACTAAGCCTAGCCTATAGAAAATATCACACCCCTGAAATGCTGAAGCTCTTTCAGACTGCCCTTGCTGCTGCTAGAGAGCATACGACAGAGCTTCAGCAATCAGACTGGGATGTAGGACGATGGATTCTCCACTCGATTAATGTCTACCTGTCCAGGGGCACTGATGTATAACTAAAGACTTTGAATTTTTAGGAACCCCAAAGGGAGGTGCTCTCTGTCTCTCCATATTCTATATTCTAATTATTGTTTTAGCAAATGCAGTGCCTAGCCAGCCTGATCATTATATGATTAACTTGGCTGATAATTCAGTGATGCTTACCACCAGATTCTCCAACAGTGAGAACATCCTTAACCATTTACTAGCCTTATGTCAGGACTTGGGGATGATTAGCAGAGGAAATGAAGATATTCAACAGGCATCTTTGACAGAGAGCTGCAGTCTTCAAATTCAGTTGCATGACGGGTCTCGGCTAGAATATACATAACCAGGTACAGTGGACCCCCGCATACCGTTGGCATCACATAACGTTAAATCCGCATACCGATACATTTTATCACTAAGATTTTGCCTCGCATACCGCTAAAAAACCCTCTCAATGCTATTCAGCCAAGACGCGTCTAATGTGCGGCCTGAGCCAGCCTCACATGTTCCACCGGTGGCATTGTTTACCAGCCAGCCTCCGTGGTAACATCCAAGCATACAATCGGAACATTTCGTGTTATTACAGTGTTTTTGGTGATTTTATCTGCAAAATAAGTGACCATGGGCCTCAAGAAAGCTTCTAGTGCCAACCCTACAGGAATAAGGGTGAGAATTACTATAGAGATGAAGAAAGAGATCATTGCTAAGTATGAAAGTGGAGTGCATGTCTCCGAGCTGGCCAGGTTGTATAGTAAACCCCAATCAACCATCGCTACTATTGTGTCCAAGAAAACAGCAATCAAGGAAGCTGTTCTTGCCAAAGGTTCAACTGTGTTTTCGAAACAGAGATCGCAAGTGATAGAAGATGTTGAGAGACTCTTATTGGAGATAGTAGGAGATAGCATCTCTCAAGTGATCAAAAGTGAAAAGGCTAGGAAGTTGCATGAGGATTTAATTAAAAAATGCCTGCAACTAGTGATGATGTGAGTGAATTTAAGGCCAGCAAAGGTTGGTTTGAGAGATTTAAGAAGCGTAGTGGCATACATAGTGTGATAAGGCATGGTGAGGCTGCCAGTTCGGACCACAAAGCAGCTGAAAAATATGTGCATGAATTCAAGGAGTACATAGACAGTGAAGGACTGAAACCTGAACAAGTGTTTAATTGTGATGAAACAAGGCCTGTTTTGGAAGAAAATCCAAGCGGACCTAATTACGAGGAGTGAAAAGGCAACTCCAGGAGATAAGCCATGAAAGACAGGCTACTGTGTTATGTGTTCCAATGCCTAGTGGTGATTGCAAAGTGAAGCCTTTATTAGTGTATCACTCTGAAACTCCCAGAGCGTTCAGGCAAAAGAATATCCTCAAGGCTAATTTGTGTGTGCTGTGGAGGGCAAACAGTAAGGCATGGGTCACTAGGGACTTTTTCTATGACTGGTTACACCAAGCATTTGCCCCCATTTTGAAAAATTACCTAACTGAAAAGAAATTAGACCTTAAGTGCCTCCTGGTGTTAGACAATGCCCCTGGTCATCCTACAGACGTGGCAGAGCGACTTTGTGGGACATGAGCTTCATTAAGGTGAAGTTTTTGCCTCCTAATACCACTCCTCTCCTGCAGCCCATGGACCAGCAGGTTATTGCAAACTTCAAAAAACTGTACACAAAAGCTCTGTTTGAAAGGTGCTTTGTAGTGACCTCAGAAACTCGATTGACTCTAAGAGAGTTTTGAGAGAGCACTTTAATATCCTCAATTGTGTAAACCTTATAGGTAAGGCTTGGGAGGGAGTGACTAAGGGACCTTGAACCTGCTTGGAAGAAACTGTGGCCAGAATGTGTAGACCAAAGGGATTTTGAAGGGTTTGAGGTTAACCCTGGGAATCCTATGCCAGTTGAGGAATCCATTGTGGCATTGGGAAAGTCCCTGGGGTTGGAGGTTAGTGGGGATGATGTGGAAGAGTTGGTGGAGGAGGATAATGACGAACTAACCACTGATGAGCTGCTAGATCATCTT